GGCTTCTAGCTTTTCCAGTTCGCGAACTGAAAGTGGGTGACAAAAAGTGCGAACACACAGACACATATACACACGCAGACAGCTTCTTCCCAATGTGCGTTTTTGCGATTTGCATATGTGCAAAAACGCATAAAAATGGAAAAATTTTAAAATGCTGCTCTGAGAGTTCCCCTACTAAAGTGTGAAATCAATTTCACTATTAATCAATAAACAAGCAAAAGTATGCACTTAAATAGATTATTTCATTCTCGAGTAGCCCTCGAAGAGGTAGCAATGCATACCAAACAACTGAAGGTATGCAATCCAGGATCAAAAGGCAGTACGACTCTGGTATACCTCTGTGTGGGAGCATCTTAGCAACACAATCTGCAGAGAACGCTGATTGCCGTGGCAATCTTGTATTTTTGATATGTTTCGTTCTAGCAAACCAAAAAATAATAATTCTTATACCGAACTATCCAGATCAGGAAAGAGCAATTGCTGCTTCCTAAACAAAATAGATCAGCAAACGATCTACGCTATGGCATAGAAAACGAAAGGTAACTTACTTGTATCGGGAAATGTCGGCAGCGAATTTCGTTCCAGTGCTTTTATGCACTGATCCATCGTTTCGGCCCGATTATACTCAAGGCCACGTATTTTAACTAGCCCACCTGCATGATACGCTCTGGATGTGCTCGGTTGTACAGGCGCAACCGCCGTCGATAAGCTGTCCGTGAACATTCCAGAGATTCTAGAAGAAAAAAATAAAATGATGATTGTTACTAAAGCACGCAGTTTCCGGAACACTGTCAATGCGATAAGCCCAAAAATAATGATGGGCAGAAAGTCTATCGGCTGCACCGATCAAACAATAGTATTCAGCTGAGAAAACATAGCTGTTCGAAGTATTCAAATAGTAAGTGCAATACTTGGGACTGATATCATTAAAGTTCAAGCACTAGGCGTACTAAAATTGCCTGGACTAATAGGCTCAGAATTATAAAGCTGATGCTTCCAAGTGTATGCACTGTTCTTATCCGGTTTTTTCCTTTAGACGCTAAAATTATAAAACATTTCCAATTCCATTTAATGTCTTTTTGACATCACATGAATTATAAAGTAGAACACTGACACACACACAAACACACACATACGCACATCATATTCACAGGCACCCACTGACAAACAGAAATTTGCCAGAAACGCATACGCATACACAACACACAGGCATTCACATCCATGACATATAAAACATTATTCAAATATACTCATGTCTATATGCATACATCTTGTACATACACACAC